TATATATATATATATATATATATATATATATCAGAGGTATCTGATCATATATTTAGGAAAGAGACAGGACTCACCTCCCTGGAAATTTCTGCAGAAATGTTCAGATCCTGAGATCTTTAACAAGGCAAGAAGTGGGCTTGTTTGATTTGAGTAGGCAGATAAATAAGTAAATCAGAAACTGAACAGAAGGATATAAGTAAGGATACCAGGGACTATGACACTGTGAGTGTCGCTTCATATCTTGAGCAACATTGGACGTTTCTCACTGTGCTGCTGTCTCACTGGGGAGAAGAGTGCTGAAACAACCAGGCCTCCTCCCAGTGGTGTTCATAGCTTTCAATTTCCCTGGCTAGGGAAACCTCCCTACTTCCTTAAACACTGTGGTTACTATGAAAAATAAAAAGCAAAGCTTGGTTAAGCTCACATTCTTTTCTTATGAATTTCACTACATCAAAAGAGTCCCAACCATATGACTTTTGTAGCAAACAGATGTATACTAGCCACTAAGACACTAGACATAAAACTCACATGCATGGTGCACCGACATCAGGGTGCTAAAACTAGCTGGCCAATATTCTTTGGCTCTACCTGGATAGGAATCATGGACAGCGGAGATGGAGCTTTCATTGTAGCAGAGTACTCAAGGCCTAGGACATAGTCTAATACACCCAGGGCCTTACAGACTCCAAACCCTTCAGAAGCCAAAGACTTGTGGTCCTGAGGTTTCAGATTGGAGGTTTGCCATTCTAGGTTTTAATCACCAACTGCCAGCCATGTACTTGGATGTTTTTGTAGTCGACAGCTTCTGGAAGCAGCAGGTGAAAGATAGCAGCAAGCACACGGTGCATTCGTGATGCTGGGACCTTGAGAGTGCCTAGCGTCACAGCTCTTTGGCTAGGGCGCTGGAATTCTTAGCACTTAAGGACAGATCGCTGTCTGGAATGCACCCAGTTATCCGAGCCCGCACCCAGTTATCCGAGCCCGCAGTGTCTCATCTTCAGCTCTACCTAGCCCTCATCGTCTTTATCTCTGACTTTCCTATTTCAGCCCCAGATGCTCTCTGGATTTCTCCAGCTGCTCTTTTATTACAGCCACCACTGTCACTAATACTGTCACCTCCACCACTCTGTCTTCATCACTGCCTTTCTACCTTTCTTGGTGTTGCCAGCTCAGTTCACTCCACCAGTGAAAAACAAAAGGTGAGAAAAGGCCATCTGAGAGAAGCCTTTGATTGAGCTGAATGTTGCAATAGCATGGAATAAACAGGGTGTGGGGAGGCTTTTCCACATATTTCCGAATGGAACTGATTTCTGGCTTATATAGACAGAAGATAAATTGCAGCGATCAAGACACGTCATCAAGCAACTGAAAGACTGCCTTTGTACCAATCAAGGCACAGTACTTTAATGCAAATGAGAAACTGTACTTCCTCCAATCACAGCTGTTTATCCGTGCAAATAAAGGGTTGTGTTTGGTGGTAGACTTGAGGCTTTTGCTGGGCCATGAGGAGAGATGCTCTCACTAGGTCTAGTGTCATTGTAGAAAGATAAATGTGT